GCGTGACTTGTACGAGTGATCCTCCGCCCGTGTGAACTTTGGCTCGGGCCCACCTGGGCCCCCGATCGCTGAATGCGATGCGGTAGCAGCGGAATGCTTGCCTGGGTTTGGCCCCACGGCGCCCACCACAGGTCACTCCTGCCTAGGGTCACTCTTGCGTGCAGCCGCTCCTGAAGAGAAGCTGGCCTGTATTGAGCACCCGAATGTGCCGCAGGTTTCTCGAGCTCGAACGAGAGTCGGAGCCTCTTGCTGCTGCTGGTCCCCATATGCGAGTACTTGTCGTTATGCGCGCGGTCCGTTGCGAAGCGATGCCCCCGATCCAGCCTGGGCCGAGGAGGACTGGGAGGAGGAAGAGGAGGAAGAGAATGACGAGAGGGCAGCACAGGATATCCCAAGAAGATAGGGGGAGCGTGGAGGGGAGCTGGAGGGAAGGTACAGGGGGTGTGACGGGGTAGAAGGGAAGTCGGCGTTTCGAAGGATAGAGGGGGGACGAGGGAGAGACCTGTCAGACGGAGCGGAGCTCAGAGGATGGGATCTCTGAGCGAGGGGCTGGACTTCCTGGAGGGTTTTCTCGCGGTTTGCCCAGATCCTGCCGCGCCGTCGTCCGAACCGACCGCGCTCGGAGAGCCGCTTGAAGAAGAGGCCTCGTGAGCGAAGAACATATCCAGGTCCACATCCATGCCCTCGCGGTCTGGGTATCGAGACGCGAGCACATGGATAATCGCGATCCCATGGATACGTCTCGGCATCCGCACGCAGCCGCCAGTGTCGCAGCCAGGGGGTCCAGACCCCGAGGCAGCAGATGTGGACATGCTCTCCGCCATTTTTGCCCAAGGTGGCGCTGCTTCCCCGTCTCCGGGCGGGCGTCGCCGCCAGCCTCGCCTCCTCCGACGCGTCCTGCCTCCTGAGCCCGCGCTTTCCCTGCGGCCGCGCGAGAGAGGGGGACCGGCAGCGATGGCGCGGCGCGCGGGCGGTGCCAAAGGGTGCTCCTGGCACCATGGCAGTGTCGCTGGATCCCGCTGGTGACACCAAGCCTGGCGTCGGGTATTCATGCCAGGCGGCTTCAGCCTACAGCTCGGGCCGACTCCCGCTTGCACCCCAGCAGGCGGCACTATCAGTGCGCCACTTCCCAGTATGCGTGCTGACATCGACACCTGTGCTATCGTTGGTGCAGGCGTGATTGCAGGCGAAACCAAGTCAGCAGATAAGTCCAGCTCTACAGTGGGATCCCACTGCCCCGGCTTGTCCGCCAATCCCAGCATGGCCGATCTTATCCGCCCCACGTGTCTTTGACTCAGAACAACACCAGGTGTGCTCAACCTAACCTGGTGTTCATCATCCAGATTGTGTGCCCGAACAGCACCTCCGTAAGTCAGAGGTTCGCAGCGTTGGTACCACTGATGCTCATGATAGCGTGGACTGTGCCCTCCCACCCGTAGCTGCCCCCGCCGCTGTCCCTAGGGCCCCCAGCGCTGGCGCGGGTCATGTTCCTCGCTGCCCCAACAGCGGGGGGCGTCTGAGATGAGGGAGTTGCCTGCGCCGCACCCGATGCATGCCCAGGATCCTGGCAGGCGAGTGGCACACTTTGAAACCGACAATCCCTGTCCCTGCAGGAGTTTCCCTCGCCCCCACCTCACACGGTGCCTGCACGTGGGGGTTCGGGCTCTCGTTCCCGCAGCTCAGCAACTGGGTGGGTGTGCCGAGGTTTTGCCCGGTGGGCGGCCGTGGGCGCCTCGTGGGCGCCTCATGGCGCTGGCTCGGCCTGCCGAGGTCTCGCTTGCTGGGCACATCGGGGGAGCACCGTGGGCGCCCCGTGTGCTGGGCGGGTCAGCCGTGGTTCTGCCTGGTGGGCGGCCGTGGGCACCCCGTCGGCGCCCCGTGCTGCTTGCACCACACTGCTTGAGCTGCATGGCTTGCGCCACCTGAACTGCTGACACCCTGTAGCCCACACCGCGCCGCTTGCACCACCTAGCTTTCACCACACAGCAGCTTGCACCACACTATCTCCCACCACACAGCTTGCACCACTCACAGCTTGCACCACACACTCGGCATGACGGCACAGGGTAGCTTGCACCACGCATCGATTTCACCACATTGCTTGCAGCGCGCATAGCTTGCACCACATCGTGCGCCACAGAGCTCACTCACCCAGAGTGCAGGAGCTCACTGTTTGGGACCCATGCCGGCAGACAATCGAACATCAGGATCGTAAAGTGTAAGGATCTTATAGGCGAAACGCATGTCCTGGCCTACACTGACACGTCTGGTAGGGTGGCAGGGCGAGCTTTTTGTTTGAAGGAAGGACATCGGACGATGATGATGCTGATGATGTTGCTGCTGCTGCTGCTGATGATGATGATGCTGATGCTGATGCTGATGCTGCTGCTGCAGATCATAAGGATGATGATGATGATGATGATGATGATGATGATGATGATGATGATGATGATGATGATGATGATGATGAGGAGGAGGAGGAGGAGGAGGAGGAGGATGATGATGATGATGATGAGCAGGAGGAGAAGGAAGACGAGCATAATGAGGATGCTCTTTAGGAGGAGGAGGAGGAGGAGGAGGAGGCGCAGAGGGGCTCCGCCGCACCGTGCAGGTCCCCGACCCTAAGCTGCCGAGCCCGGAGCACCGGCTAGTGCGCTGGCGGTTGGATGTGGCGCAGGCGGGCGTCCGGCGCCTGGCGCTGCCGCTGGTGCACCTCCATTGCGAGCCCTGCACTGCGGGTCCAATCGACGCTGGGGGTGTCGGACACCCCCGCTGGGGTTCACTTCGCTGCAGACATCCCTCGAATTCGGAACCCCAGCAAGCGTTTCAGACAGCCGACTTACTGGGGTCGGGTTCACATGCGGTTGCCCAAAGGGGGCCTGAGATTTTTTTCACCGCTCTCGGACTCTTGGGGGCCCTCCCCAGGCTCCAGGACTGTCAAGACACGGTTCAGGATGAAGAGCTGACCTTGTGGGAAGGCCTCGGGGTCCAGGGCCTGGTTCCCTCAGGACCCGTTCCCTTCGTGGTAATTTCCGCCTCCTACGACGAACAAATAGCACGGCATAGACAAATTCCTGAAGGTCCGCGCGGATTTCTTGGATCGGCGCCCCCCCCCCCGGCTGCTTCGGCGTTGCCCCTGGCGTGTTCCGCAATCCGTGGAGGGGGGTCCAGCGCCGATCCAAGAAATCTGCGCGGACCTCCAGAAGTTTCTGTTCATGAACGCATTGTTCTTCTACTCCCTCTGGGTCACTCACTGGCGACGAGGCCTCTTTGCGCGCGACGCGATTGCCGCGGTAGGGACGCATGACGCATGCAGTCACTGCAGTCCCAATCGGTAGCAGTCGCTCCAACAGTCGCTCCCCTGCCTCCTCCTTTTTCTCCTCTGCCTCCCCCTCCTCCTCCTTCTCCTCCTCCTCTGCTATGTTTTCTCTTTCTCCTCTGACTTGTCCTCATTCGCCTCTGCTTCCTTCTCCTCTTCCTCTTCCTCCTCCTCCTCCTCCTCCTTCCGTAGCCATTTTGGATCAAGCCATTTTGGCTCAAGACTCAAGATGCAAGTTTCCGCAGGGGAGCAAGTGGATACCGCTAGTCCGCGGCAGGCAAGACTTCTTGAAGTCTGGCAGTTTCCTGTGTCTCTCCCACGTTCGAGCTGGTGGGTAAACGGAGGCGTTTCCCGTTCCTGCCAGCACGAGCGATCCAGTTCAGCTCATGGGGCGCAAACGCTGTGGTAAGGCCACAGAGGAGAGCTCGCCATCTCGCCGTCCATCTCGCCCACGGGAGCGTCGCAGACGGGCACCACTATCGCCCGACGTGAGCGACTACGAGGATGGAGATGGCCACCACCACCGTTTCAGATCGGGTGGTGAGTCGCCGCGAGGCAGTGGCGAGCGGGGATCATCGACACAATTCTTCGACTACAGAGGCATCGACTACTCGCACATCGCTAGCATTGCAGCGCCGACCGTCAGCTCGGCCCTGCAGGAGACTCTCGCGGGCTTCGCCACCACGCTCGGGGAGTCCGTATCGGCTGAGATGCCGGCTCAGATGTCGGCCAACCGCGCGTCCATCATGAAGGAATTCAACGAGTACACGGTCCAAGGTGATGCTCGGATTGCCGCCATCGAGAGCACCCTCGCCTCTCTTCAAGCTGCTGGAGATGTAAATATGAATAAATGTGCTGACACTCCCCGTCAGGACCCATGGGCTGCTTTCGGGGGCACATCGAGGCAGGAGAAGTTATCCAAGGATGTGATTGACCTGACCAAAGAGGTAAAGGAGCTCAAGGCAGAGGTGTCGTCGGAAGGTGGAAGTAGCAGTCGCAGTGGACCGCCATCTAGTGCCAGCAGTTCACATGATCAAGCGACGATTAATGATTCTAAGCGTTGGGTTGGTACCTTCCCACGGAGTGTGACGAGTAAGCAGAATACCGCTAAATCTGATAATGTACTACGCCCTATGTTGCCGAACCACATCCTAGACACCATGACCCCGATGTAGAATGGGGTCAGTAAGAGCTACGGGATCAACTTTCCAGATGCCAATGCAGCGAGAGCCTTCTCAATTTTAATGTCCGACAAGACGCTGTGCTGGCAGGATGTGCGAGCGTCAGCATCGGCCACACTTCGTGCGCGGCAAGATTTACCCGTTGATGCGCGGACAGAACAACGAGCAGCAAATCGCGTCCGGGAGGCGACACTGGCTCGATTCAAGCAGTTTAAGTGCCAGATCGCCGACTTCCGCCTGGGTGTCAATGGCTTCCATGGCCTCATCCACCTCACCTCGGCTGAGGAGACGTTCGAGCCCTTCTGGATCAAGAGGAGCGAGCTCACTGGCTTCACCTTCGAGCCTGTCTACAGCTCGTTCGCCAGGTGGAATATTCCCGAGCAGGAGGTCACTGCTATGCTTGGTCGAGTCAGCAGCTTCCTTTGACGTGAGGCTCGGCGAGAAAGTTCACGCGTTCATCGGCTGGCGTCCTCTTCGCCAGCGTTGGGCGCAGCGACGGGATGGCCCACCTCCTCTGGATCGAGGAGCTCGAGGCCGACGCTGCGTGCTGGATGCAGGAGTGGTGCCAGGCCTTCTAGTGCTGCGCGCCTCCTTTCTTTTTTTCCGCTCGCCCCCCTCCTCTTCGTCTTCGTCCTCTTCCTCCTCCGATGGGTCCCCCGACGTTTCCCCCCGCGGTATTTGGACCTCCCCTGCCTCCCTGTTTCCAGCAGCCTGAAGGTTGCCGCTTGGAACATTCACGCGTTGTTCGGTTCTATTTGGGCCAGCCCAGAGCTGCAGTAGGCCACTCGGGCGAAATTAAAGACAAGTGCTCGCAAGTTCGATGTGGTTGTCCTGCAGGAAACATACGGCCAGCTTGAATATATGAATGAGTTGAAAAACCGTTTCCCCTCCTGGGGGCTCGCGGGGTCCTTCGTGGAGAATGTGGGGGCTGGGGGCATCTTATTCATGGCGCACGAAAGGCTCGCTGTGCGATTCAACAGGTTCAGGCTTGCCCCGATTGTTCCTGGGCGGATTGGGGTTCTAAGGATGCACGGGGAGTGCGGGAACCGTGATGCAGTCAACTTACATCTAGACCCGAGCTGGACTCATCTTCATGCTCGTGGGGCGCTTCTTGCCATTCGTCAGTGAGTTCGCGATTTTTCACTCGTCACTACGTTCATCTGCGGCGACTTTACCTTCTCGATTGCTGGCGAGGGGGGGGGGGGGGTCGTATTGCCGAGGACCTGATAGAGGGGGGCCCCAACGCCCTTGGGCAGTATTTCGACGAGCTGTTTCCTGGGATGCTCGAACTCCACCAGCCCGGGTATACCCGCAGAACCTTTCATCATCAGGAGGTTATTTCTCTGGGAGATTAGATCGGATCTACATGTCCATTCCCGCGTCTGATGTTCTCGACCTCGCCCCCCCTCGCAGGCCTACCGGGTGATTTGCTGGATCCTCGCCTACCTAGCGACCATGCTTGCGTTTTTCCCCCCTCACTTCTACTCCGGGGTTGTCCAGGCCTAGTATTCCGACGCGCGTGTCCCGCCATGTTGTAAATTCGGGGGTCATCTTGCGCGAGTTTTTGGAGGAAGCGAATTTGCCTGGGGACCCTTGCGATCGGGCGGAGGAGGTTAAGGGGCTGATTTTCGAGGCGGCGAGGAGGGTTAAGGAGGTTACTAAGTTTATTGGCCCCGAGACGGCGGGCCAGAACCTCTCGTGGACGTTGGCGCTACTGCGTTCGCATCGCGAAGGGCGCCATGAGACTTCTCTGCGTGCTCTGCGTGCTTGGCCTGTGCTTCGGGGCTTCTACGAGTCCGACGTTTTTCAATGGGGCGATGTGCCTGGTTTCCACGGGCTTCTGCAAACATTGATGGGGGAGGTCTTGAAGCGGGGCGAGGACGCCATTCAGAATGGCCCAAAGCTTTCGTCTACCCGGAAAGCTAACGACACCGAGCGTATCAAGGAGCTTGCAGCTGCATGGAAGCGTGCCCACAGGCGCGTGTATCTGCGAGGGACGGTCTCTGATTCTGGAGACGAGTGTGTAGACCCTGACAGATGTGCCAGGCAGCTGGCTCACTACTGGGGGGGGGGGGGGGGGGTCGAAGTTTTCATCCTGCTGTGAACTCGGATTTCCTTTTCCTGGACTCATGTATCCAGAAGGTTCCTAGGTGTATCTAGTGGGTCCTGAGGTATGACCAGTTTGAGCAACTTGTCCTGGCGAAACGAGACAGTAGCGCAGGTGCGGATGGGGTTCCATATTCGGTCTGGAAGGCCGGTGGTGGGATAGCTATCGACGCGCTCTGCCAGCTGTACCTATCTGGCCTGCGCTATGGCGAGTTCCCTGCTGGTTTCAACTTTTCGCCGGCTGCCTTCTTGCCAAGGGGTGAGATATCTGCGGTGGCGCCTGGGCAAATCAAGCCGCCATCTGGCGCGCGGCCCCCCGCTGTCTCTCCAGCGCCGACAACGCGTTGATTGCAAGCGCTTATTCCTGGCCTCTTCGGAAAGTGGGTGCTGATGTGATGCGCCACGTCCAAGCGGGTTTCCTCCCTGGGCGCCATATTCTGGACCGCGTCATGTCCCTGGGCTCGGAGCTTTGGATTTGGAGAGGTGTTGAGGGCAATTTGGGCACTGGGGGCGTCCTGCATGACGTGAAAACCGCGTTCCCCTCTCCCTCTCCCACGACTACCTCTTCTATCTCCTTGAGAAAATGCAGATTCCTGGATTCTTCCTGCATGCTGTGCGTCAACTTTATAAAGTGGCGCGAGCTTTTGTTAGCTTCCGTGGGCGCGACGAGTACTTGTTCACGCTTGAGCGCGGCATCAAGCAAGGATGCCCTGTAAGTGGGCTATTGTGTGTGCTAGCCGCCGACCCCTGCATCCGGTACATGCTCGATCGGATCCCGTCCTCGCCGACCTCCTCGCTGCATGCGTTTGCTGATGATCTCGGTCTTGCCTCCCAGGACATCTTCGCTGCGCTACCCCTGGTCCCTCCTATGCTTCGTTGGATCGTTGCGGTCACTTGCTTGCACATTCACCCAGGCAAGACGGTTATTCTCCTCCCAGCTGGTGTTAGCTCTGTTGTTGCCCTAGCTAAGTTTGCTGCACGCGGGCTCGATGCATCTGAATTTCAGCTATCTACGTGTGGGCGATACCTGGGCTTTGTTGTTGATGAGGGTAGAGAACAAAGCTTCCTGGTCGGACCCTGGGGACGAACTTCTAGCGCGTGCTAGGCAAGTTAAAGTGATGGGGCACGGATGCTGCACCAACATCCTCACGTATAATGTCTTTGCGTTTCCGACGCTGGGCTACGTCGCCCAGGTTCTGCCACCGCCGCCCGCTGTTCTTCGGCGCGAGTTTGAAATTGTTTAGCTCCTGCACAACGGCCCCCTCGATGCCATTAGCCACGAGATGATGCTTAACCTGCCCACTTTGGGCTTTACGCGTGACGTAAGGGACCTCAACATATACGCCCGTGCTGCTGCCTATCGCGTTACTGTGAGGAGTGTGGCATATACCAGGTGAGAATGCATATATGAGGAGATTATGGAAGGTTCCGATTGGTTGCTCGCTCACAAGACGAACCCGCTCGTGTATAACTCGATCTTATTCCACCTCATGATTGTCAACGCCGGGATGGGCAATATTCCAGATATGCCTACGGATCTTGCGTGTAACCGTCTTCTGGCGAATGCATGCGTATTACTGCGCACTTGTGCAAAACGGAAGGCCATGGGTGATCTCATATTTTCTCGGCTTCGGAAGTTCAGGAGTGGGGTTTCCGAGCAGGAGGCATACTTGACGGGTTAGGCTTAGACAGGCTGCTCGGTATGTCCCACAATGCATGCTCTCCTCGGCCCTGAAGACCACATAGAATCACTGGAACTGTTCGGCTCGGTATTCTTTTCCTACTCGTCCATGCTGGTTGCAGGCTCCAAAAAGGTGATGGTATGATACATGTTCTACAACGTCTTTGTTCCCTACCTAGGCTCTGCCTAGAAGGGTTCTTACTTTGTGTGCTAAAGGGGGCGGGCAATGCTACCCACCCCGGGCGGTTCCCCCGGTTGCGCCCCCCTGGTTCCCCCGGTTGCGCCCCCTGGGTTCCCCTAGCTTAGCTTAGCTTAACTTACCCTGAGCTTAGCTTCGCTTAGCTTAGCTTAGCTTAGCTTAGCTTAGCTTAGCTTAGCTTAGCTTAGCTTAGCTTAGCTTAGCTTAGCTTAGCTTAGCTTAGCTTAGCTTAGCTTAGCTTAGCTTAGCTTAGCTTAGCTTTGCCTAGCCTAGCCTAGCTTAGCTTAGCTTAGCTCAGCTCAGCTTAGCTTAGCTTAGCTTTGCCTAGCCCAGCTTAGCTTAGCTTAACTTACCCTGAGCTTAGCTTCGCTTAGCTTTAGCTTAGCTTAGCTTAGCTTAGCTTAGCTTAGCTTAGCTTAGCTTAGCTTAGCTTAGCTTAGCTTAGCTTAGCTTAGCTTAGCTTAGCTTAGCTTAGCTTAGCTTTGCCTAGCCTAGCCTAGCTTAGCTTAGCTTAGCTCAGCTCAGCTTAGCTTAGCTTAGCTTTGCCTAGCCCAGCTTAGCTTAGCTTAGCTTAGCTTAGCTTCGCTTCGCTTCGCTTAGCTTAGCTTAGCTTCGCTTCGCTTCGCTTAGCTTAGCTTAGCTTAGCTTAGCTTAGCTTACCCCATCGTAGCTTAGCTTAGCTTAGCTTAGCTGTTGCTTTCCTGAATGCTCCAACTCCTAGGTAGGGTCGCACTGGGATAATCTTTTACATGCTGTGAAGGCCCCCCCCCATCCCCTTTTCCTTGAAACCTTGGGCTCTGGGGGCCCATCTCTTGCGTTTACTTTCGGGGCCTGGGAATGTTTACCTATCCCACAGCTCATTAGTATGGTAGTAGCTGTAGACATGATGCACAGCACATATATATATATACATACATATAATGCCATCCTTCGCAAGTCGGATAGCATTGCAGGTCTCGCTCAGGCCCGTGCGAGGGCGATGGCCCGACGCTATGGCCACGCGCGTGCTGTTCTTCAAGGCGCCTGGGACTGCCCCCCCCATCCCCCCCCCCCCCCCCCCCTTGCTGAGTGTGGCTCCGCCTCCTCCTCCCCCCCCTCCTCCTCCTCCCCCCCTGTCCTCCTTTACCTTCAACCTGATGGTCAAGGGTTCGCCGACTTGAACGGTGGGCTACCTCTGACTGCTGGGTGCGGGAGGGCTTTTCCCCTTGTCGATGTTTGGCTCATGGTTGACCTTCCCGCGCCCGTTCTTAGGCTCGCTTTGCACCTGCTTCTAGACGCACGCGCGCGCCGCTTTACATCCTCGCAGTGAAAAGCTCTTGTGCCATCGTCAACTCTGCACTCCTAGTTGGTAGCGGGGCTTCGGCTCTGCGATTCACATCGCCATGGCCCGCGCGGTAGCCTCTCGCTCGCGCGGCCCCCGCTCTACAACGAGATGCTCGGCGCCTGTTCGTTCTACGGCGAGTTGAGCGGCGTTTCGCCGCTCTACAACGAGATGCCCAGCGTCTCTCTGCTCTACATCCCCCGTCGCGCTGCCCTGCCAGGCCTCCGTCGCGAGGGGGCCGCGCGCGGGCATCTTCAAGGACTTCGACTACAAGGGGCGCGGCCTCGCGCCGCCTCCCGCGTCGTTTGATCCCGGGCTTGCACAGACTATGCATGGGCAGCTCGCGGGCCCGATGCCCTCGATGTATTCGCCTGTAAGTGCAGCGTCCGACGCCAGACAGTTGCTCGACGCAACGTTCACATCTACAGCATTTTCCCGGCATTATTCTGCGTGGCCTTCGGCGGAGAATTGCATAGCTGGCCCCGCGAGCCGCCGACTACTAATTGGGGCGCAGAAGTGCCCTGATGCGGATTCCCGAGCCCTCGCGCGCTCTCTGGGATGACTGGCCAGCGAAGCAAGAGTGACAGCGTTGGATGAGGATTCCCAGGGCCACGCCGCGTCAAACCGAGAACGAATACAATGGGGCATCGCGTTGGCATCAACATGACAACGGCGATGGCGAATACTACATGGCAATCTCAAGTGGCCCATGCGGAGTGATTGCGCGATGAGTGGGTTCAAGTTGTGGCGGAGTAATTGTCGTGCCGGTTGACGCGTAAATTTACATATACATAGTATTCGCATTAGTATTGGTATCATTCGTCTTAGTATTATTCGTTTTTTATATTATTATAGCGTTACGGATTACGAGCCCATCGGATTCGGACCGCTCCCTGACCAAAAAAATGTCGCTGGCAATCTATGGGGGGGTCGGGGGGGTCCGCGCATTGACGTCCGATGGTCAAAACTATAGTGCCGCGCGTATATTGGCGAAAGGGCCCCGCGCTACCTGTGACTATGTTGCAGGAGCCCTGGGAGAAAGAGGCAGCGGGCGACTCCTCCATTGCATCCGCTTGCGCCTGTATCCGAAGATGTCAGACGCTTGGTCGACGCGTCGTTCGCATCTGCGGCGTCAGCGAAGCGCCCCGATCTTGTTGCGTCTCTGTGGCTAGAGCCGGGGGGGGGGAGGGGGGGCGCAACCCGGATAAGAGCGGGAAGATAAAAAGGGGGTCTGGCAGTTCTGTTGTCGGCGGTCCAGGGGGCCGCGAAACGAACCTGGGACTCTTCGTTTTCGATTTTCTGGAACAAGACCCCCCCCGTTCCCCGCGCATTCCCTGCTATCTGGCAGACCTGGATCCCGATGCAGATTCCTCTTGACCATCGTGAAGTTGGTGGTGTTCAGCACTGTGACAACGCGACGCACGACTAGCATTTCCAGGGCTATGCTGCGGGGTGCTCCGAGCGTCGATCGCGCCGCGAACGTGCGACGGAAGAGCTTGCGCAATGCGCTGACGAGGAGCATGCCCGAGGCAGATGCCCACGGCGGCTCCGGGGCCATCTATCCGAGCAGCGCCGCTAGTGGGTTCCCGGGCTCCAGCGTCTTCTCTATGCGTGGATGGGGGCTCCGCTCCGGATGGGGGGCCATCGGGGCGGGCGCGGTCGCCGCCGCCAGCTGCGTCGCTTGCGTGGACGCAGGCGGCGGCGGCAGCGGCGACGCGCGACGCCTCCGCGCCTGGGGGCCCGAGCAGCGAGATCGCGTGCGCTTCTTGCGCTGGGTGCGGGAGGTTATGATTAGGTCACTGGCGAATTCCGACCCTGACGCGTTCCGCCGAGCGGCCTGCGTCTCGTCTCGCCTCGCCGACACGGCGCGCGAGTGCGCGGATGAATGGCCGCCCGCTGTCCAGATCCAGGAAGGCCACGTCGACGTCGACCCGGCGCCGCCCATGACCTCCCCGGCGCGCAGCCTAGCGGAACGGCGGGGCCAGCTAAGCCAAGGGGGGGCGCGCCCTAGCGGCGACGGCCCCGACGACCTCCAGACATCCCGCAGCGCATGCGTGCATGGCCGCCCCAGCGTCTGAGATCCTTGCGCCGAGGGGCTCGTCTGCAGAGAGACGACGCCACTAGTTGCACACCCGCCGGGGCAATCCATCATAACCTAAAGCAGGGGCCAACGTTTCTCAATCGGATGAGCGTTTGCCTCTGGCCAGTGGGGCAGGTGCCAAGGGTTGAGGCGAGGGGTGTCGCTGAAGTCCATGCAACATGGCGGGCTGCGTGCACCGCGTGAGCGCAGGCATTGCGTTGGCGTGCTTGCGCAGCTCTCGGTGTAGAGCGGTGATATCTGGAATTTGCGCACGCGTGGCAATCTGTAAATACGGCGCGCAATATGTAATCGCAGGTTTCCGAGGTGCGTGGGTGGAGTTTGCCGCGTTGCCGTAAATGTGCACGGCGCAGCGCCGCGATCGTGAATTCGAACTGCTGGGTGGTGCAGTGCGACAAGAACCAAGTCAGCAGCGTGACATTCGTTGTGTAGGCTTGTGGCAGATCTGTCCAGGTAGAGCGCTGGGTGGCGTGCTCCGTGGTGGACCAAGTGGTAGGGATGCGTGCTGTCCCTGCGTAAGGGGGGGGGAAACGACCCCCTTTGCTGGGGCCTGCACCTCGCCCGCATATGGGGCGAGACCGTGAAGTCCGGATTGATAAAGCACCAGCGGGGCCAGCGGCTATTCATTTGCGGGCGTTTCGACGACAACGCCGGCGAGTGGGCCATCCTACCCCGGGCGGCGCGAAAGAGTGTCTGAAGTTGTTCAAGCCAAAACGGCGCAGTGGAATTAGCGCCCTACAGCGGCGACGACGAACGAATTGTATGGCAACAGGGTATCGTGTGACTTTGCCATTGGGCTGTGTCTGAGTTTTTGCGTATTCGGCGCTAAAAGACGCGGAGTGCGTTGAGTTCGCGCAGGGCCAGCAGGAAAGGGGACATCAAGAGGCTGAGTGGTTTCCCTTCGAGCAGGGGGGGGGACGGCAGAGCGCGTTGCGTTGCTATGTAATGTGGGTGTCTGCGTTGCGCGCTGTTTTGGAAGCTGAGCCTGATCGTTTCGCTCCCTCCCCCCCCCCCCCCTCCTCCGCCCCCCCTCGCGGCCCCCCCCCTCCCCCTCCCCGGCCTCCATCCATGAGCTTGCGAAGTGGGGCGGTGGCCGGCGCCCCCCCTCCTCGGCTGCGCCTATCCTTCCCCCCCCCCCCCTTCCGCTTCGTCCTTTGTGGATGTCATGGATGTTCAGCCTCTCGCCCCCCCGCGCCTCTCTCCTCTCTCTCTCTCTCTCTCTCTCTCTCTCTCTCTCTCTCTCTCTCTCTCTCTCTCTCTCTCTCTCTCTCTCTCTCTCTCTCTCTCTCTCTCTCTCTCTCTCTCTCTCTCTCTCTCTCGCCCCCCCGCCCCGCGGCCGTCTCGGATCGCGGCGCCCGGGGGCTGCGCGGCGCGCAGGCAGCGGGCGCGCGGGGGCCCCCGTAGAAGGAGAGAGAACGTGCTCTCTCTTGGCACGAGCCCCCTATTTGCACATCGCGTCTCTCTGCGTTCCACACAGCTACTGCAGTGCATTCCATTGTGGCGGCGGGGCCTTCGCGGCTCCGATGCCGATGAGGGGTCTGGCAGGCTCTCCTCGTCGCTCGACTCTCGGGTGGCGCGCCCTTTTGCCCCGTTCCCCCCGCTCCACTCTCGCGCCGAGCGCCGCCGCCCGCGGCGAAGCCGCCGCCGGAAAACGCAGTCACACCAGACCCCTGGCAAGGAGAAGGCCGGGATCTCTGGGCAGGAGGGGCGGGGCGAGGGGGCGCCCCCTGGGATGGCGATGCCGGGGGGGGGGGGGGGCTGGTCAGATGCTGACTGGGCCCGTTGGCATGCTGAGCAGGAGACAGAATCACAATCCAATGCGCTGTCGGCCCCACCGGGTTGGAGACCGCAAGGTCATGGCTCGCCGGCCGGGGCCGCTCGGTTGAGGGCGCCTCGGCAGAGTAATGCGGCCCCGTTCGCTCCGACTTGTTGGGGTGGCGCTACTGCCGGGCCCGCTGATCGACAGAGGGGGCAATTTCCTGGACGATCGTAGGCTCCGCAGATGCCCAATGACTTACCTCCCACCTGGGATTGGAAAGATCCTGATGCTCGTCTAGCGTCTAGACCCCTACGTGAAGCAGCTGCAGACGCGGTTTATTACTGCTCGGACTTTTAAGAGGCAGCACTGATACCTCTTTCGCCGCCGCGCCAGGGGCGACCGTAACATTTTCGTCGACGAGCTTGATCTTGCCGCGGAGCAGCTGTCCGCCGAGGATAGCGGTTTGGTGGCGGTCAAACATATCAGAAAGGCTTTCGCCGAATGCCAGGGCCGCAGGATGCCAGAGGCATTTGAGAAGTTGTTATACTTTGAATGTACAAATCGCGAGCGAGATGAGCCAATTGCCAATTGCATGGTTCTCAGGCGATTTTATTGTTGTTTTGTTGTTGTCCCCCTCCTTCCTTCCTTCCTTCTCTCTCTCTCTATTTTTTTTCTTTCTCTCTCTCTCTCTCTCTCTCTCTCTCTCTCTCTCTGCGTGTATATAAAAGCAGCTTGATAAGCATGTCGCATTGCCCTGGAAGGGCATATGGTTCGCAGAGAGTCCGAGCTCGATGGCGCCGCCTGGGGCGCCGTCGAGAACTGGACTGAGGGCCCCTCTGTCTCCGACGCGGTCAGCGAGAAGCTTCGCGAGCTAGAGCGCCCATCGCCGTCGGGGAAAGGCGGCCGCTGTAGTCGTGGAGTGAGTTCGTCACATTTCACTGGCAACTAGGGCGATGAGGAGAGGCGCGAATAAGAGAAGTCCGACCATGAAGACGTTCATTGGATCTTCATGCAACAGTCTTCGTCCACTTTGCCAGAGGAGAACGGGGAGTAATCTATCTTGAACGATGCTCTCAGGTTCGCGGGCGACAGAGACGCGCTCTGCGTGGCCGGAGATTTGCCGGGGGCGTGGTTCTAGGAGAAGGTGAAGCTATTGCCGCATGCGCCAACTGCAATCAAGTCCGACAGTTTTTGCGCGGGGCAAAACGCGGGCGTGGCTCATTCAAGCAGTCTCCGCCGAAAGGGAAGACCGACAGCTGTCGGCAGGGGGGGTCGCCGCGGGAAGCGGGGCGGCCGCGCTGGGCCGAAGCGCTGAGCGAAGAGCGAGTTGATGAGCCGCTCGGAGTGCGCCCGACGCGAGGAGATCGGGCACTGGGCTCGAGACTGCACGAGCGACCCAGACGAGCGAGGACAGAAGCG